TATAGGTGCTCCTGTTCTCTCCTCCTTCTTCTTATTCAGCTGCTCATACACCGATAATAAGACCAGCTTTATCTCCTAATTCCCCTCCAGGGGTCACCTCCTTCTCATATCCTCCTTCCACCAGTGTGGAGTTTGAGGGTCAGATGTGGAAGAAAAGAAAGGAAACCATAGTGTCTTATCCTTTTAGAATATTGAAATTTATTTCTGCCTGTAGTGGTATTACAACAGCAATATGCGGTTCCTTGGTGGTCCAGGGCAGCATAGATATCACAGTTAACCGTAAGTAATCCTCTACCACTGCTCTCCCTCCTTGCCTGCCTCTGCCTTCGCTGGAATCGCCGAGCCTCTCCGATGCAACGTCGTGACGTCAGAGCCCCTCCCCTACGCGTATCGTCACAGGGTCACGTGACTTCATCAGGGGGAAATTGATTGGATGCCACTGGGTTGCAGCTATAGCAAATTAAATCACTTGGAAAATGGCCGCGCCCATGTGGCGATACGCGTAGGGGAGGGGCTCTGACGTCACGACGTTGCATCGGAGAGGCTCGGCGATTCCAGCGAAGGCAGAGGCAGGCAAGGAGGGAGAGCAGTGGTAGAGGATTACTTACGGTTAACTGTGATATCTATGCTGCCCTGGACCACCAAGGAACCGCATATTGCTGTTGTAATACCACTACAGGCAGAAATAAATTTCAATATTCTAAAAGGATAAGACACTATGGTTTCCTTTCTTTTCTTCCACATCTGACCCTCAAACTCCACACTGGTGGAAGGAGGATATGAGAAGGAGGTGACCCCTGGAGGGGAATTAGGAGATAAAGCTGGTCTTATTATCGGTGTATGAGCAGCTGAATAAGAAGAAGGAGGAGAGAACAGGAGCACCTATATCTATACCTTGGAATATCTAACACATGAATACTAACCCACTGATCCTGGAAGGATCAAAAAGTCTATTTGCCTGAATTTATTCAGGCAAATATAAAGGTGAGCACATATGGAGACCACAAGACACCTGGAATTAAGGAATCACCTGCACTTTTTGCACTTTCTAAAGACTGTATTTGTTTATGAACTTATGCACGTGCACATTTAAATATGTTTTTTTTTTGCACAATTAGGGTTTGATTGATCACATATAATTTAGAGTGGCAGTAATTACACTCATATGTTTATTACCATTTATTTATTGAATGTACTAATAATATATTGGTAATCATCCAGATATATCAGTCTATGGACTATCACTTATCACAATGATTTATATTTGATTTATTTAGTTATTTACCAATCAGAATGAGAACAGATTGGATATAGATTTATAGATACACAAACAGGAGCGCGGCACTATAAAGATACCCATATTGCTGATTTTACACTATTAAGTGAGTTTGTGTAAGTGCCAGCGCACCAATCACATTTAGACAAGTAGATAATTGTATTATACCCACTGAATGCCTCACTTCATAATAGCTCACAAGGAATCACAGTATATATAAGAAAAGATAAATAACTGATAAAAAAAACGTGGTCAATGGAACATACACAGTACCAATTTAAATAGTCCCAATTATCCTGCAGGACCAGAGTTTAAACGTTGATTCCAGCCATGAGATATTTCTTCCCAAAGTGAACTGGAATAGAGAACAAAGAGAAGTAAGGCTACCTCACTTGCTGGTTCTCAGTGGCTAAAAAAAAAGGTTCAACTCAAAATATAGAGTTACATGTAATAACACTTCTGTTGGTATTACCCCTCCAAATATAGAAGTTTCTTCTGCGCGGTTGATGGGACCCTAGTTAGTGTACATTAAAGTTGCAGTTATTTTAGGTAGCAACAGGATATCCTGCAAACAAAGGGTACAGTAGCAGGAAACTCTGCCTAGGCCAATGGTAGCGGAACTAAGGAAGGTCCCTTAGTGGAAGAAAGTGAAGGCAAGGATTGAGATGGTAGAGAAAAAGGGGCGAGAGTAGACTCCAGTAGAATTGAATTCCAATAGGTGAGGAATTTGCCTAATGAAGCTGGTTCATTTACAGCTGTAATAGATTGGGGATGAAATATTAACAGTATGCCTGACCCCAAAGGCACACGTGCAACAGGAGGAGTCCTGTGTTCAAAGCAATGGGGGAGAAACACTAAAGCCTTAGGCCGCAGTACTGAATTAGGCTAGGAAGTGTGTGTTTCAAGTGGTAAACTGTGATACAAAGTTTACTGAACTGAAACAACTAAAAACAGCAGGTTGGGTTATGGAACCCTCTCACTCGGTCTGTAGAGTGAAGAACAGTCCTCTCAGCCCCTCTGAGAATGAAATGATGCCGGACACAATTCCGCTATCCGTCTGCCTGCAGGTTGACTTTCCTAATTGTCAGCAATACCAGTGATTTGTAATGCTTCTTTCCAGCTCACCGCTGTGACCCAGTTCGGCACATCCATTGCAACTATTGGTGCTATTGTATTCATGCAGCCATGACATCTGCAGCAGTCTGAATATAATGGTGGTGCACGTACTGTTCAGCCAATCATTTTCCACCAGGCTTAGCTGATTTGTAAAATTGCTTTTGTTGAACCAGAGGAGGAAAAGGAGAGGGGGGGGATAGGAGAATTGCTTCCAAGGTTACCTAGAGCTAGAATCTTGGACAATTTAGCAGGAATCAGCCAAAATGCAAGCCATCTATGACCAGCATTTGCTTTTAGCAGCAATTGCTCTTTGACTCTACAGGCTAATTTGATTAGATATAATTTGACAGACACCAGAGACTACCACCTTTTCCTTTCACACATTTGAAGCTATCTGCCAAGATATTATGTCTCTGTCTTCAGCATTTGCCCTTTGATACTACTAACTAGCTTCACATAGTCCGACATGGGCAAAGGATTTGTATTTTAATACTGCTGTGACCTGATATTTTAAAAGCATATCTGAAAAACTGAGCTGTCCTTGAAAAACATATTTTAAAATATAAATTAATAGAAAACCAAGAAGAGAAAACGGAGCAGTTTACCACCTCGATAAATTGGATTTTTCCAATGAAGGTTATAATGTGAAAGTCAGTTTCTGATACAGTATGTTAATAAGGAAGGAAAGCTGTGTTGCATTTGTTGCAATTTTTCACATAAATTATTGGTTCCTTTTATATGTAAAAATGACAAAAACCTTCACTACAAAGGGCGCCTGTAGACACTGCAACATATATAACATCTCATACATATTAGGTCCCTACACTGCTGAACTATGGAAGGCAAGGGCTACATAGGTCAGCACATGAAATGAGGGCATTATCTCATAAAAATATCAAATATGGGTAATGCAGAGCTTTGGTCCCAACAAAGTCCCTCTCCCTTCTCCTAATGTGTTGTGGCACCTATGATTGATTTTTATTTGCCCTGTTCTGTATGGCGACTTTTACCTGACACCTTCTGTTCATGTTCTATATGCCTCCTGAAACAAACTGATTGGTTATTACTGACCTAATAACTGACCTAAAGATGGAAAGTAAATGGTCAGGGTCAGCATACCAAAAAACTGATACTTCAGCTCAGGGGCGGAGTGACCATTTGGAAACTCAGGCACTGCCCGAGGGCCCGGGGTCAGTAGGGGGCATCTTCAGCCTTGAGTAGAGGCTGCAGAGTGAAACCACCTGGCAATTTCATAGAGCTGAACCTGGCCACACATGGTTGAATTTTCATTTGAAAGAAAAAATATGCAACAGTACATTCTTTTATGCCATCATTGAGTCAACTAATTTAGTCTGAAAGCCCTTAAAATCTTATCCAGACCTGCTAACTGAACGTAACTCCAGATGCGTTTTAAACAAGTTTCATTACAATTTGTGCATTTTTTTCTTGAAGAAAAGACGCATTTACAGTTCATTTGTTCTGAGAAAAAAACTTTATATTCTGCTCCTTTGAATTTTTGTCATTATTACCATTTTAATTGAAATCAATTTGACTCCGCTAATTATTTGAAAATTGAACAAATGTTCTGGAAACAAAAAATTTTAGCAAAATTCTACTGCTGTATGGCTTAACTTGGTAAGGTAATAGGTTTTTTTGAGATAAGATTGCACAGGACACAGGGCAGTAGTAGATTTCTGGCAGGATCACCAGGTATTTGCTTTACACTTATTGAACAGATATAACAGAGTACATGGTATTTTGCATTGACTAAAGGAAAGTAAATAAGAGAAGTTCAATGCTAGGATTTAAAAAAACAAAAACAAAACTGCCATAAAGGCCAGTTATAGGTCGGGGTGGTTGCCATTTGTTTGAACTTTTGGTGAATTGGTGAGGGGACCCAGTGGATACCTTCACTGCCATTGTGCTATTGCTAGGTTTCCAGTGCGTCCCTATACCATTAAGGAAGGGTGGGGTCCTTCCAGGCATACTTGCCCTCAATCTATCCATCATTATATATATGCTCCAACTTTGGAGACTCTCAAAATGTATATAGTTAGGACTGCAGTATACTGGGGTGCCATGACTTGGCCTTTGCAGCTTACGCATATACTTGCAAATATGTGCAGTTGAAACCCCTTGGTTTTAATGTGAACTGTTAGACAAGATTAATTTGGTCTGTTGCTGGCTGACTGGTAAGCAAGCTGGGAATTTTTGTTTTTTGACATGCATTACCCTTTCATGTGCTCCTTACTGTAAAGACCAGTTATATGTTGGGGTGGATACCAATGATAGGATTTACATGGTATGTAACAGTAGTAAAGTGAATTTCTGACTTTAACACAATTGCCATGTTTGTGGAATAATAATGTTACTACCACACTGAATTCTTGTTGTTTGGATATGATATTTTCACTGTCAGCTAAAATTTGGCTATTGGCAATGTATGATAAAGAATGATGACCTTTACTGCACAGAGCACAGTCTTATAAATGTACAAAATTGTGCAATACTATGTATGAGCTACTTTTATTTGCCTGGCATTGTAATAAACCAATCTATTACCATAATTTGTATGAACTTTGCTGTAATAAAATGTATTCTATTTCAGGGGCTTTTCTTATTCCATACTTCATCATGTTAGCTATCTGTGGAATCCCCCTCTTCTTCATGGAGCTGTCCTTGGGTCAGTTCTCTAGCCTGGGACCCTTAGCAGTGTGGAAAATAAGTCCACTCTTTAAAGGTGAGTCATACTCTGAGCTGAGATGATATGATATAGACAAAATAATATATGCATGTACCACGTTAACGAGAAAATGTGAAATGTGACGCATTGAGGTCCCTTATGGATGCTGACATCTTCTTCCAGTCTTCTAGGCATGTGTAGCCTAGTGTACATTCTTAAAGCGGAGTTCCACTGAAAAGGGTAAGCTCCGCTTTAAAGATTGGTCCCCCGCTCCCCATTAAGGATTGTCACCTTTGGGGAGCAGGTACCAGAAATTGACAGGTACCAGCTCCCACTTCCACTGCGATCGGAAGCGGACGTTGTCCTCCTACCCTCCCCGTAGTCTTGTGGGACACATGACAGGTCCCAGAAGACGACGGGGCCATTCACGAAGCACAGAACTACTCGCGAATGCGCAGTGAGCACCCGGCTGCAAAGCCGCAAGCTGTCACAGCCGGGTGCCCACACTGAAGATGCCGGAACCTAGAATACAGGAAACGGGCTGTGGTGGGGGCAACATGGGACAGGTGAGTGGCTGTCTTTTAAAAGTCAGCAGCTACAGTTTTTGTAGCTGCTGACTTTTATTTTTTTAAAGAATGAGTGGAACTCCGCTTTAATAAACTTGAAAGCACGGGGGCAAAAAGATTTATTCCAATAAAAACCTGTTTGAAAGATTCTTTTAAAGCTAATATTCTGTTTAAATAGCATATGATTTTCATGTATGCACAGATGTCAAAACCTAGTACTTATTTTATATAAATGAACAAAGTGCAGTGCTATATGTTGAATAGCATCATTAGTGCAAAAAAGTAAAAAAGAACAATAAAGTGTATTATTAATAATAATAATAATAATAATGAAGTGATTAAGTGATATGATACATAAATAACTGTCCATACAATAATATATCAAAGTGATAAAAATCAGTAAAAATTCAAAAATAAAAAAGTGTCTGTGGCACTACAAGACACAGCAATACCAATGCTGAACTTCCGAATAACTGTTATAAATTCCAGTGAGAGAATCCACCACTGCTTATGCCTATGCACTCACCAAAAAGCTACAGGTATAGTAGCAATTAATGCTGATCTCTCAGGTGAATATACCCAAATCGAACTTCTCCAGTGAGTGCTGGTAATGCGGATATTCAGCATTGGTATTGCTGTGTCTTGTAGTGCTAGGAACACATTTTTATTTTTTCAGCTTTACTGATTTTTATCACTTTGTTATATTATTGGATGGACATTTATTTATGTATCATACCACTTAATAACTTCATTATTATTATTATATATACAGTTCTCGCCACATATCTGCATTTACTTATTTTATATACCTTGCTGAGATCTGCTTTGGCTGCAGTAAACTTGTACTGTAAGCATGCTTTCATTTTTCTAATCATGTACAGAAACTGAAAGAAAAAACATGTTCTTCTCATAGTTTTTATACAGTATGTGAAGCTCATATATTATTGTTGCCATTTTTAATATAATTATCCTTTAGCTATGGTTCACATGTGTGCGGTCTTGCAAGCCGCGATTTGTGTGGGAACAAGAGCCCATTCATTTGAATGGACTCACGTGCCCCGTGACACGCAAGGAAGAAGTCCCTGCACTACTTTAGAAATCGTAGCCCGCACGAGAACTGAGGTTCCCAGTATGGTTTTGATTTCTAGTGCGGGTGGCGTGCCATTAGAATTAATTGCATCCATCTGCGGGTCCCACATTCCTCTATGTGGGTGGTGCAGCTGCAGGCATTTGTGGGTCCCAAAGTGGCACCACTTGCACATATGTGAACCGAGGGTTGGAGCGTTATTGTGGTCATATACAAAGTTGTTTATGATGATCTAGGTATGAGCAATCTCAAGTAAGCAATTCATCATCAAAGAGATATCAAACAATGCAGCATACATGCTATTGATTCTCACTTTACAATCAACTGAAAATATTACTGAAGATGCAATGGAGTGGATTTACTATAACTGGTGCACTGTTAATCTGGTGCAGCTGTGCATGGTAGCCAATCAGCTTCTAACTTTAGTTTATTCAAATACGCTTTGACATTAAAACCTGGAAGCTGATTGGTTTCTATGCAGAGCTGCACCAGATTTTGCACTCTCCAGGTTTAGTAAATAACCCCCCAATCTGTTGGTTGTAAATCTAAATGTTCTATTATAATAATTGTTTATTCATGTGATGACTGGTCCTCTGACGCACAGAGATATTTCTTAGATTGATTAGAGGCAATTGGCACATTGTCCAGTCCAATCAAGAGCTTGATAAATTATGTGGGATTTTATTTATTAAATTCAATCAGTTAGTAACTTTGAATTATCAATTGACTGATGATATTGATACATGTTCCACACAGCTCCATAAATGTATTTCTTCTGGGTATCTAGCTCTTTGCTTTACCATACCTGGTGGAAACCCATCACACATAGGCGGAACATACAAATTCCATGCAGACAGTGTTGCAAGATGTGACTGCTAACCACATAGAATTTTTTCTACTATAGCAAATAAAAATGATACAAATCAGTCCCCGTGTAACATAATGATTATAGGCTAAAATATGTCTGTGCTTCTACATTTATTGTAACTGTTCCATGCCTTCCTTTTGTTTTGTGTAGGTGTTGGGATGGGCATGCTTCTTATTGTGGCCCTAGTAGCCATCTACTACAACATGATAATTGCCTACGTGTTATTCTACCTCTTCGCCTCACTGACCACCAGCTTACCCTGGAAGCATTGTGGCAACTGGTGGAACACTGAGCTTTGCCTTGACCACCATGTGATTCGGTCCAGCAACTCTGCACTACCAATAAACATCAGTAGCACTGTTAGCCCCAGCGAGGAGTACTGGAGGTGAGTGTTGGGGACCTACCTGGTCCTCTGTATTGCTACTGAGGACATAAATCACAGTGTGTCTAAGCCTAAAAAATGTGATATATTGCAGTTCACCAGTCCTCATAAGTGGTGGCTCCATTAGTTTTAATTTTTCAGGCTAAGAACATTATCAGTAAGTACAGAAAGTACCTGTTGATCTTGAAATAAATGCAATGTAACTTTCTGTGAATTAAAAAGAAAGAGCAAAGTTATTTTTGTAAACTAGTAGTCCTGTGACTCCACCATGTAATGGAAATGAACAAAAGCAGACATGTTTGCAGTTCAGCCTACATGACAACTATGGCTACCCTTATAGCTACAGTGGAGTAAGTGAGTATAACTACAAAGGGGAAATAAGTTTGTTATCTGCAGGATCACCAGGTGAAAATATATTCCTCTGTGGTGTAGGAGCACTGTACCTTTTGGAGATATGTTATAATAAGATGATTGGTTTGTGGTCCTTGGAGGCTGCTCACCAGCAACCATGGAGTCCTGCAAGACCCTTGGAGAAGTGTACTTAAGTTTTGAAAGAATGGGAGCACCACTCCAGCTTGTATAGTCCTTTGAAAGAATTTATTTTGCAATAGCCAATGTGTTTTGGGGTCTCAGTACTCCCCCTTCATCAGAGCTCAAAAACAAATCATGTAGGCACCTGGATTGGAAAAGCCAGATGAAAATAAAGGAAAACAGCCTGAGAAATAATTTCAGCCACCATATCTGCGGACTGGTAAGCTGCAATGTACAAAAGTTCTGTTAAAGATATGATTTAACTAATCAGGAGATATAATTTTTAACTTGGGTTAAGGAAAATACTTACATTTACAAATTACAATCAATAATATCTGATTATCCATTTTATATTGTGATTCCTACGGTCAATGCTTCCACTGAAGTCGCTACGTTCTTCACATCCAAGGGAGTTCTGGAATTGGGGATCCGGGACAGATTCGATGGAAACTGTGTCTGTGTCTTCTACTAGCCTGGACTATTGTCTATCTATGCATTCTAAAGGGAGTGAAGTCTTCTGGCAAGGTATAAATCATCCAAGTATTAAAGTATTTTTTTTCAAGCATATATTTGCATGTGGTGTCTGTATAGGGTGTAGTTGGTTAGTTACTTCATCACAAAAATTAAAAATGCAGCTTTGTAATCATTATTACATCAGTAAATGTATTTGTTTAAAATCAAACATCCTAGATTTCTGAATTTGACCCAGCCTCTTGCAGCCTACTGAACAGTCTGTACAGCAGAGCTCAGAAAAGGGGAGGGAGAAGCAGGTGTGCAAGTAGCATGCTAATAGGACGAAAGAGCAGATTGACAAAGAGATAAGTTGCTGCTCCTCCTTCACTGTCCAGTCACAGGGTGGGAGGGACCCAGGGGCGGACTGACAACTCATGGGGCCCCCGGGCAATAGGGGATCATGGGGCCTCTGTGTCCTTGCCCAAACTCAAAAAAGCCTATGAAAAAGGAGCAGTGCCTGAGTTTCCAAATGGTCGGTCCGCCCTTGGAGGGACCTATAAGTTTTCTTGAACTGAAGCAGAGAAAAATCTCGGCTCTGAGCAGAATTGTGGGTGGGGGAAAAGTAAGGGTCAGTATTTGCTGCTGGGTGTTAAAGCAAACCTTTTGTTTTCCCCTGAAAGTGGGCATAGTTACAGGGTGGTTTGATAGTGACATGTCTGCAGAGGATTACATTTGCCTGCCTGGTCACTATATATAAACGGCCAAGTGGAACAAGCATCAGTTTGGGAGGATGTACGTGTACATCCTCCCACTCTTGCACCTAATGCGTGCCCTCAGTCACAATTGCAATAGTAAAAAGAGGCTTTCATTCATGAAGCCTACGATTACTAATGTGACTGCTGTAGATGCGCCCCGTATCGAATGATTGCTATGACTGATCACAGCGATCACAGTAGCAAGCAATGGCTGCATGAATGCAGCCAAGCAGTGTTGGAAATGATTGCTTATACAGATATCATGAGCAAGCATAGTGTAAAAACTTGATTCCCCTTCCCCAAGAACAGTACGCTATTACTGTGGTAATACTGCACTGCTCTGATGACAGTATGTAAAAAAAAATTGTAATAAAAAAAATTGTAACAAAAAAATATTTTTTTATATACTGTCACCAGAGACAGTGCAGCTTCAGTATGGTTACAGGTTACATTGTACTGTTGTGGCAGTGATCATGTGCAATGGCTGGCTGCTCTGATATCACTGTATGTCAGTGCTGCTAGCCATTGGACATGATCCCTGATACAGCAGTCACAGTGTCCCTAATTACTGCCACACCAGTCAGTGTTCCTGATCACCCTCGGACCAGTTAGTGTCCCTGATCACCCCCAGACCAGTTACAGTGTCCCTGATCACCCCCAGACCAGTTACAGTGTCCCTGATCACCCCCAGATCAGTTACAGTGTCCCTGATCACCGCCACACCAATCATAGTGTCACCATAAGGACCCCTTGGATAAAGCAGGTGGCAAGCACAGCAAAGCATCACAGCTGCAGCATGTATAGACTGCTGGTCACTGCCTCTGCAGCTAAGGGGGGGGGGGGGGGGGTAACGGTTGAGGGACACTAAAACTGTGGCTTAACCTCAAGTTTATATTGCATCCTCCCTCCCTCAGCCTCATGTGTGAATGAACCCTAATAGTCCAGCTAGTCATAGTGTCTCTGATCACCACCACACCAGTCACAGTGTCACCAGACTAGTGTAGCTAGAATCATTGTGATAGCCACCACGCCAGACCAGTGCCAGGGCCAGTTTTCCTGATCACCACAACACCAGTGCAATGTTGCCACTGCCTGTCTCCTGTGCTGACTATGGCTTGTTTATTGACCACTTTGCTGCCTGTTGCCTGGACCAATCCTTTGCATGTTTGCTGACCATGTCTTTGCCTACCACCTGAACTGACTTATTTGCACATTCAATTGACTACATTCCTGCAAGACACAAGTCCCAGTTACTGCTCCCCTAGAACAACAGGAACTCTGTTCACCTTTTCTTCAGCCTACTGTACACACTGGCCAGTGAACATGGCATTCCTGGGGGCAGCCATGTACCAGTAGGCTACTTTGCATGGCTTATGGGAACTGGGACTGCTAAAGGTGATGCTTCACTAAGCTATATTCCCTATATATATTGTATAGAGGAGACTATTACAGTACATTAGTTTTGATACAATTGGTTGACTTGTGTGGTACACAAGATAAAATGAATTTATCTAACCATAAGCAGTCCAGATATTGAAAATGGCTCACACATGTGGTATCGCTATACTTGGAAAGAGTAGCAGAAGGTGTTTTGGAGTGTTATTCTAAGTATGCCCATGCTGTGTGTGAATAATATCTTATTAAATTGACAACTTTGTGTAAAAATAATTTTCATTTTCTTTCTGCATTTTTCACAAACTTGTGGCAAAAAAACTATAGTCTTCAACAAACTCACGATGCCTCTTAAAAAAAACCTTGGGATGTTTACCCTCCAAAAGGTGGTTATTTTGTGGTTGTTTCCATTATCTTGATGCTCCATGGCCTCCAAAAAATGTGATAGGTAGTCAGGAAATTAGATCCTGCTTGAAAGTCCAAAGGTGCTCCTTGTTTTTGGGCTCATCTATGTGGGTAGGCTGTGAAAAAGTCTCATACATGTGGTATCCCCATACTTGGGAGGCATAGCAGAATGGTTGTTGGATATAACTGTAAGTATGCCTTTGCTTGTGTGAGAAAAAACTTGTTTAAATGATAACTTTGTGAAAAGAAACACTTTGTTTAACTACTTAATTTTCCAAAACATTGTGACAAAAAAATAAAATTTAAAAAAATTCACAATTCCTCTTACTAAATACCTTGGAGTATATACTTTCCGAAAAGGGGTCATTTGGGGAGTATTTGTACTCTCCCAGCATTTTAGGGCCTCAAGAAATGAGATAGGCAGTCAGTACATTGGTGATCAATTTCAAATACATTATATACTGTATACCATAGTTTGTAGACTTTATAATTTTCACCTAGACCAAATAATATACACTGATTTCAGTTATTTCTTGGCCTAAATTTATGAAGACAGATTATTATTTGCAAAGTTTTATAACAGAAACTAAGCAGTTTTTTGTTCAAATTGTCCTGTATAGTAAAAATAAATAAAAAACAGTGCTGATTAATACCACTAAAAGAAAGCTCTATTTTTCTTTAAAATATTATGAAAAATTCATTTGGGTACAGTTTTGCATGACTATGTAATTGTCAATCAAAGTGTGACAGCGCTGAAATCTAAAACAAATGGCCTGGGTAGGAAGAAGGTGAAACAGTCTCATTTCAAGTGGTTAAACCATAGTAATATGGCTCTTTAAACAAAAAACACTGCATTCATGACAATATGTGGACTACAAATGGGCAATTGTTTTATTATGACAAGATAATCATCAGAGAGGGGCATGATCTAGTGTCTATGGTCCAAACAAATGTCTGCCAGCTAACCTCTTTATGTGAATGACTAATTAGACAGGTTATAAAACTTGCCATTCCCCCAATAGTTCTGCTCCACCATCCTAAATTCTGGGCATTTTCTGAGCTAATCAACAAACTACTGTTAAATACAGCATGGGAATCTAAGCCCTGCCACTGGGAATATGTACCAATACAATTTTTTTTTTAAAGTACTGTAAAGCAGAACAAAGATCTTTTCATGCGATTTAAAGGGCATTATTGAACATTGATAAATCCTGTAAATAACAAGATTGGGGGATGCCCTAAAGTGTTACTTAACAATACTGTTTTGACCTATAGTCTCATTGAATGTACACTTTCAGCACATATCTGGCAGTAAAATTGATTTTCTTTCTTTTTCAGTTAGCTTGATTCGCAGCAGCACCCAAATCTGATTAATTTCAGTTTAACCCCTCACGTCTAAGGTTAAAACAAATCTTTATGCCTAAGCACAATTTTGCAACTTTGTCATGTGTTAGTAAAACCATACATATCATCACAACTACTTTGTACATCCATGTGGATTTTACCTTATTTTCAGGGCAAATGGGCTTTCATTTGATGGTGAATGGTAATGGATATCTCCTGATTTGTTTTTTTTATTATCAAAGTAAAACTGGCCAAAAATAGTAAAAAAAATTTTTTTTTTAATTTAGCTGTATATTTCTTGCTACTACCATAACTTACCACCAAAGAACAATCCAAAATAAATTATCCTGCTCCTGACGATCGTAGCAAAACCACATTTATTTTATTTATTTCAGGTACTTATATAGCGCCAGGGGCAGACTGACCATTTGAGCACTCGGGCATTGCCCGAGTGCCCGGGGTCAGTAGGGGGCCCCATAAAATGCCCCTGGTACCTTTTTTATAGGCTTTTTTGTGTGTGTTGGGTGTGTTTTGAGTGTGGGCAAGGACACAGGGGCCCCATGATCCCCAATTCCCCGGGGGCCCTATGAGTTGTCAGTCCGCCCCTGTATAGCACCGTCAATTTGCGCAGTGCTTTACATATATAAATTGTACATTCACATCAGTCCCTAACCCTTAGGGGGCATGCAATCTAAGGTCCCTAACTTACATACACATACTAGGGCCAATTTAGACAGGATCCAATTAACCTATCAGCATGTCTTTAGAGTGTGGGAGGAAACTGGAGTACCTGGAAGAAACAGGGAGAACATGCAAACTCCAGACAGGTGGTGCTGTGGCTGGGTTTTGAACCAACGACCGTAGTACTGCCAGGCGGAAGTGCTAACCATTTAGCCACTGTGCTGCCCACTAACATACACATATGTGTATGTTAGTTGTTGTTTGTGCCTATAGCACAGCCCAGAAACAATAGTGCACAATTTTATTTTTTTAACCTGCCTATAATACACTAACACTGACACTGATGCTAATTTAAAAAAAAAAAATCCTGACCTAAAAAAAAAAAAAAAACTTAAAACACTAAAAAAAAAAAAAAAAAAACTTACCCTGACCATTGACCCTTTCCTTTGACCTTGACCCAAACACTAACCCTGGCACTGACCTAGATCAAACCTTGATATACCGTATTTTTTGCTCCATAAGACGCACCTGACCATAAGACGCACCTAGGTTTTAGAGGCAGAAAACTGGAAAAAAAATATTCTGAACCAATGGACTGCAGACATAGTACAGAAAATGACCAGAGACTGAAGACACAGTACAGGAGATGACCAGACCAGAGACTGCGGACACAGTACAGGAGATGACCAGAGACTGCGGACACAGTACAGGGGATGACCAGAGACTGCGGGCACAGTACAGGGGATGACCAGAGACTGCGGACACAGTACAGGGGATGACCAGAGACTGGGGACACAGTACAGGGGATGACCAGAGACTGCGGACATAGTACAGGGGATGACCAGAGACTGCGGACACAGTACAGGGGATGACCAGAGACTGCGGACACAGTACAGGAGATGACCAGAGACTGCGGGCACAGTACAGGAGATGACCAGAGACTGCAGACATACTACATCATATAAAGTCCCAACAGGGCCCCTGCACCCAGAATATCAAATGATCTGACACCATACATCAAGGAAAAGGACTACAACTCCCAGCATCTGTCATATATAACTTACAGAAGACAGGCTATAGAAGGCAGGGGGCGCACTGAGCTCCGAGGACAGGCCACACCAGCAGATAGGACCGGACTGCAGAGCAGGGAGCACACTATGGACACATGCCAGGAAAGGGGAGGCGCTGTAAGGACAGGCCACACCCGCAGACCGGACTGCAGAGCTGGGAGCTCAGTACATAGACATGCCAGGAGCGGGGAGGAGCTCCGAGGACAGGCCACGCCTGCAGGGCAGACCGGACTGCAGAGCAAGCTGGCTGGGTTCGGCGAGGGGACTGCCTGCTATGAAGAGCTGCGGGGACAGCCCGCTGAGAGAGGGCAGGGTGAACTTCGGTGACAGCCTGCAGTGGGATGGGACAGCCGCTGGCACTAACACGGCGGCGGTGACAGGTGGAGGACTGGTCAGTATTCGCTCCATAAGACACAGAGACATTTTCCCCTATATTTTTTGGGGGAAAAAGTGCGTCTTATGGAGCGAAAAATACGGTAGGTGTTTTTTTAGTTTTTTTATTCCATTTTTTAATTATTATTATTATTTACACACACTTTTTTTTCCTCTCTGAAAGGACAGAGAGAGATGCAATGTGTCTCTCTCCACCATTCAGAGAGAGAAAACATGGGGGCTGGCTTCACAGTGACTGATCACTGTGATAACTAATCAGAGGCTATCACAACGATCAGGTGACCCAGAATCAGGAGTTCTGGGTCCCAATCATTACCACAGGACCCTGGGCTCTCAGCACAAAGACAGGTACGCAAATATGCAACCCCACGCAAAAAAAGCCCAGTCCAGTGGGGCCACATATTTGTGTACAGTCGGCGTGATTGGGTAAAAAAAGAAAAAGTTTGTGTTTTTTTACAATAGTTGTAGCGTGAAACTGTAATAAATCAGCTTTGGCCAGCATATAGAAATTGGCCAGTAATTTGCTGTGGCTGTCACTGTTCTCGATGATGTATAACTGTCCTGCTGCTGGCCAATGACCACAGATGTTAAAAGCAGTGTAAAATTGGCCAGCGCAGCGGGATAATTGACCAAAATTTGGTAAAGAGAGTACAAGCAAGTGTTTTTCAACAAAACAATACTGAAAGAGTAGTAAATAGGCCAACAGCAAGAAATGTTGATTTACTAAGGACATATAGACTGTTCACTTTGCAAGGGAATTATCCCCAGATCTTACTGAATGAGGTGATATTCTGCTGATTTCATCCAGTCGTGTGCATGCAAAAATGCTTTCAACTTGTTTGGATACTCTTTGCAAAGATAAATTTCACAACATTCACTAAGCTCTGGGGAAAATTCCCTTGTATAATGCAAGTTCCCTTGCAAAGTGAGCAGTCTATGTGCTTTTAGTAAATCATCCACAAGGAGTACAGGCAGGGGCTTTACTACAAGAATTAGAATACATCAAAGGATACAGCAGTGTAAAATTTGCCAGCAGCAGGGCAATTTTAATCAGCAATAATTGGTGAAAATGTACCTAGAAACAATGAGTCCCGGTTTTACCACAAGAATTAGGAGACCACAGATGATACCGTAGTGTAAAATTTGCCAAGTTTATTGATCAAGGCCAAGCCCAAATTTACTAGAGACAATAGAGCAAAATTTAGGATACTGGAGAAGATTCAGCTGTGTAAAATTTGCCAGCAGCAGGACAGTTTTAATGAGGGACAATAGGCCTAACAGGTGTATGCCTAACTTGTAATTTATTTATGGAAATAGGGGATTCAATGAATGTGAGTAATATAATGTGAGGTAGTTTAGGTACACACTGTTCTTGCACTTTTTCTTTCAAATGATGCAGTACCATGCAGTAAGAAAGAAAAAGCAGATCCAAGAACAGATGATTAGTAACAACTGAATGCTCCACGTTGAGCACCCCAAACTTAAAAATAATGCCCTATCAACAATATAAAATATAAATATACCCCCCAAATAAATTAAAAACCCAAAATACTGCTTCCTTAAACATAGTTACATAGTTAGTCTGGCTGAAAAAAGACAAAAGTCCATCCAGTTAAACCATTAAAAAAAAAAAAAGATAATCCTATACCCACAGTTGATCCAGAGGAAGGCAAAAAAACCCAGCAAAGCATGAACCAATTTGCTCCAATCATCCACAGACTAAAATTAAAGCCAAATAGGCCTCAATAAAAAGAATAACATTAAAAATCAAGCAAATGCAGTGATTGCTCAACGAGCTAGTAGTCAGAATTAAAGTTTTTTTACCTAGCCTGAATCTTTCCCTCTGCAGTTTGCCAGTTTTTCCTACAACCGCTTCCAATTCACTGACACTATGGCTGCTCTGTGCTGCTCCTTTATAGTGTGGGGGCTGACTTAACCAAAATCCTCCTCACTGGCAATTTAAAACTGTTGGCCATTAATGCAGTGTGAGATAGTTTCAAGAAAATCTCCTGGACAATTTTCCAGGTAAGTTGGCTGGGACCGCAAATCATAAACCTGCAAGATTCACTTCATACCTCATCCTTAGTGCCTATCAGCGTAGGCAGTTGCTCAAAGGCCCCACTGCCGGATCTACACTGGATACTGCATAATTATTTAATCTATATACATGTATTGAAACTTAAAGTGTTACTAAATCTACAACAGTAAAATCAGTCTGTATATGCAGTAAAGCATGCTTGTTATACTCACTGTAGAACCTAAGGGGTTAATCCTCTGAATTGTGTAAAAAGGCTGTTTGATCCTGATTTCTCTGATCCTCCCCTTCTTCCAGTACCCACTTCTTATCTCCTGATAAGACATATCATGTGGAGTTACTCTGCACATGCTCAGTTTGATGTGTATTGTTAGAGAGGGGTTTTTTTCCTTTGGAGTGCGTGTGATCAGCACAGTACCAATCAGCACTGTCTAGACAGAGGTCAGGGGTTCTGCATCCTCCTAGAGCAGAATGAAAACTCCTACAAGCTTTAACCAGTGCTCTGCTGGACACTGATAGAAGTCACATGACTGCTCTAACTGCTGATGAGAAAAGATATTTAGCAGTTTATATTTACTAAAATATTTGCACTTCCATGTCCTGTGTATTGTGGGAGACCAGATATAGTGGATGCAGGGTCCAGGGTTTAGTAACACTTTTAAACTTGCAAATCTCCCACTAAGATGTAACTAAATTTTAATTTTTATGGTTTAAAAGTGATTGACTGCTGCATGTAAGCCTCCCACCATATGGCCTCCCACCAGGGGCGGACTGACTATTTGGAAACTTGGGCACTGCCCGAGGGCCCGGGGTCAGTAGGGGACCCCATGAGATGCCCCTGGTACCTTTTTCATAGGCTTTTTTGAATTTGGGCAAGGACACAGGGGCCTCATGATCCCCTATTGCCCGGCATCCCCATGAGTTGTCAGTCCGCCCCTGCCCCCCACTGATCACTATGGTTCCACCCGCCGTCGTCTATCGCATTTCTGTGTCCTGTAGTGACGTGGGGGCTGGTGGATGAATGCAAGTGTACAATCCAAAGGCACATGTTTCTGTGTTAAAAATGGCTGTGTGTATAAGTGGTGCTGCAGAGACTGTCGGCAGGAACCGAACAGAATCAGAAAGGGAGAAATGTCACCAGCACACCGAGGATCACCAATATGGTCCAAAGGTTTTATTGAACAATTACATAGTTACAGCAAGGCAATGTTTCAGAGTCTCGCAGGACCCCTTCATCAGGCATGAAAGACTAAGCCACACCATGCCAAGGGTGACTAGACATCTCACAATTGGAAGAGCTTTAGATGCAGAGGTTTTTTTCTTAGCTCTTCAAAGGAGAGAAAATTGGTGCGTGGGCGATGGGACATGTATTAGTCATGTTCCTAATCGAGCAAGAGAATCAGTTTTTACGCACAACGCCAAACTTTTTATGGCTACAAGAATATCTGCTATTTGGATATCAGTAGATAGAATTGATACAGTTAGTAAGATTACCTTTTACATCACTAAATATAAATAATAACAATCTGACCTTTCTATGATTACGTCATATCAAGGACTATATTATCAGACTAACAGAATATAACATTGTTGGGGGTTATAATATTAAATAAATAAGATTAATGTCTATAGTAGACAGAAAACAATGAGTACACAACTGGGACAATTTAAATGTAAAGTTGTACTGCTTTCTTTAGAATATATTTTGCTGCATATAAAATGTTATTGAGGTTTTTATGTATATATGTAGTTCATCTGTGAATGGGTTAACACTCTTTTTTCCTACATTTAGGTAGTATATTTCACAGCTACGTTCCCTTACATAATACTCATCATGCTGCTAGTTCGAGGCGTTACACTAGAAGGAGCCTGGATCGGGATTAAGTTCTACCTGACACCGCAATTTGATCACTTACTGTCATCGAAGGTAAATGACTGACAATGAATCCAGGCATGTTTATTAAGAAAGACAGTACAAAGAGTAAAGATGATGTGCATTTTGTATGGTAACTTGAAGGATCAATTATGTTTCTGTAAACTGTAGTCCTATCAGGTCTTTGGCTGGCTGCCGTTGTATGCTACACAAAGCCCACCTTCAATACTGCGATCAACAAAGGATTAGTCCATTCACGTTATTAAAGATCCAAAGAATAAATTATAATAACAAACACTTTTCAGTTAGTCTCTATTCAAGACAAAGTGACAGCATCACCTGATAGCTCATCCTCCCAGCAAATTATACTCACAGATCCACTTTCCCTTGCCATCTTCTCACTGCTTTGAAGGCCTTGACTCCATTACTGTAAAGGATTGAGGATTCCAGGTATGGGGTAGCATGTGACCTCCTCCATGTACAGTGTGCAGACTTGAGTGCCCAATCATATGGGGGGGCACTGACATCACCCAACTGGGTAAGCTCTGATACCATCCCACACAGGTAACTTGGTATAGACCTCAGCAGTGAGGATACAGAGAGGAAGCATGGATGAGTGAATTTGGTGGTCTTTGACAATGAGGTTTGACTCCCATTGTTCCTAGCTTTATTCTTTCTTGTTTGGGCATTTTACTACATCTACAACAACAAGGATGTTCCCATGGTGCCTGCGGTATTCTAGGTATTCTAGTATTCTAACTGCCAGAACAGGTCTGTAACCTCCACCAACACCTACAACATTAATTTCGAGTGGAGTGACCCATGAATACACCAGATGATTTTGATATTAAAGTTAAACAAACTATCTGAATATGAATAAGGATGTGTTTCCAAGGAATTATATTATTTGATAAATTATGCATAAACATAATTTGTTCATATACATCAACCAGTAGGTAAACAGGTTACATTGCTAAGTAGCTAGAATTATATTGTTATAATGTTGTTTATACAGGACAGGAATCATAAACTCTACATAGTGATTCAATAATAAACCAGGTTCACAAATGGCAGACCAGACTGAGGTTGAAGATTATCCTAAATTCAACTTTGGAGATCTGCCCTGACCTCCTTTCATAAGGAGAACAGAGGCGTCACTAGGGTTGGTGTCACCTAGTGTGGTAAAACATGGCATCACCTCCCCAATACTTTTTTTTCCCTGGGCAGGCTAGTGCATTCGACTATCTCCTGTCTAGCCTGCCACAGTGCCCTGCAGGGAGCTGGGCAGGCTAGTTTCAGGCCCAACAGCGCACAATCAAAGTGTGCACCCCAAACCAGCCCCACCGCACAGATCCATGCGTTATCACGGATAGGGATGACATCATTGCGGCTGGATACAGGGCCATCTCTTTAATATTGATTGGACCCTATTCAAACATTGTCTTGGTCCCCCCCCATGCAATTTTGCTCTCTACCCCAACATCCCAAATAACAAACACATACATCACTGGTTGGTTGCTAGAGATTACTGCACATCATTAGCACTCATCGATTGGTTGCTAGAGGTTACTGTACATCATTACCACTAACTGGTTGCTAGAGGATACTGCACATCATTACTGCTCACTGATTGGTTGTGAGAGGTTACTGCTCATTATTAATGCTCACCCATTGGTTGCTAGAGGTTACTGCACATCATTATCACTCACCGATTGGTTGCTAGAGGTTATTGCACATCATTACCACTCACCCATTGGTTGTGAGAGGTTACTGCATATCATTACCATTCACCCATTGGTTGCTAGAGGTTACTGCATATTATTACTGCTCACTGATTAACTGCAACTTGGTGCCCCCTCTGCCAGCTGCTCGGTCCTGCCGCTGCATCACTAATCTCCCCCTCTGTTGACAGAAGAAGGGTGAGGGAGAAGAAACCACACACAGTCTGCTCTGTGTGTCTTTGATCTCCATGCTGCTGACCAGAGAAGGGGGTGGGGGAGAGGGTGAACACAGAGTGCCAGTCTACTTTTCCTCGCTCCCTGTCCCAGCTGCTCTGGCCTGAAACAAGTAGAACAAGCGAGCTCCAGAACATGCAGCGCACAGCTGTGCCTGTCCCTTGTCACAGTGTAGCCATGGGAGAGCATGCGGAGGGATCAGCTGCATCCACTACACCTTAAAAAATATTTGTGGGGCTTAATGGTGTCACCCCCGCACCCCCATAGCAACGCCACTGAAGGAGAACCGTTTTCTCAGAGGTAAAGTTGGAAATGAACACAAATATAATATTCCAAACAAATATGTAAAATATTTTCATGTACTGTATATAAATCTTTTCGGTACCTCTTTTATAAAGCAGCTGTTTTTAACTAGGATTACTTTTCTTTAAAGTGGACATAGCATCTTAAATACTTTTTCATGTTATGTGTATGCATACTAATTTATGTGTAACAATTACAGGTTTTACCCCTCATGGAGACCACAGTAACCCCCTACAATGCCATCTTCTGGATTTTCTCTCCAGTAGGATAGCTCCATCTTTCTTCATGCACAATCCATGGTCAGCATTTAGTTATTGAACTTACAGTAGATGTTGACTCAGAGATATCAAAATAATGTAAATCCCAGTGCCTGTGAACTTCTTGGCTCTGTGCATAAATGTGTAAGGCCTCATGCATTCTGGGAGTTTAACCCCACTGAATAAAATCCCGCAGTTTTGGTGTGACCGACCGGGAGACACAATTGTGGCACCCAGCCCCACTGCCAGCAGCCTGTCAAAATCTATGACAGCCTGAAACACTCTGGAGCAAGATGCAGTTGTTTGATGCACCAAATGGTACTCACATTTGGGGCCATATTCATTCAGGTACACATACATGGGGCATATGTCCCTAAACGCATGCAGCCCCAAACACGAGTACCACTCAGAACAGTATTCAGCCTCCACATATTTCATCCTGTTGTAGATGCTGAAAAGCTGCCTACAGCAAGGCTGGGCAGCCACACAAAAAATGCTGGGATTTGACACACAGGGCTAAATTCCCAGTGTGCATGTAACCTAAAACAAATCAGCCCCTGCCTCCAAAGCCTCTAGTTACAACGGTACAATATTTCAGTCTGATCACTGGGAGAGAGAAGACCAAGGAAATGCTTCCTCCTAGCAGCATCAGACTAATAACATCATCTATACATAGGCAAAGTCACTTGACTGGAACGTGAGACTTTTTAGCACTAAATTGTACTTTTTTCCCAAATATAGTTTTTCTGTATGTTATGTATCAGGAATTAAGAATGTATTCATGCATTCTTGTAAAATAATTGAAAGGTCCATTTAAATGATTTTGTTCCTTTGTTTTGTCCAATTATAGGTATGGATTGAAGCTGCACTTCAGATTTTTTATTCACTTGGAGTTGGATTTGGCGGTCTACTAACTTTTGCATCATACAACACTTTCCATCAAAACATTTATCGGTAAATAATGCTATTCCCTTTCTGCAACTTGCCAGCATGTCATAAATTTTAAATGTAATAAACAGGTCAAGTAATTTACTACTTGCCCCACAAGAACTATACCAGAATGTGTCATGACAGTATATTATTTTTAAACAAACTCTCTAAGGGCATCTCTGTAATGTACTCAGCTATGCTGATAATGAGCCATTGTGGATTCTCACTGAATGAAAGATCTGCCCTTGGAAAATCATAAATGTATTTGAGTTACTGAAGTAATGTTAACGTGTAGTTCTGACTTAGGCTTTAAAATAAATTCAATAAAAAAGAAAATCTAGTTTGTTTATGTTCTCTCCAGACTTTTCACCTTCTGTCTGAAAAAAAACATGTTTTTTTCAAGTAATTTCTCTGTATTCCTTCAGTTACCAGTTTTTGTTCAGCTGTTGTCATTTTATGTTCCAGGGATACATTTATTGTCACTCTTGGAAATGCTTTTACAAGCATACTAGCAGGATTTGCCATCTTCTCCGTGTTGGGCTACATGTCGCAGGAGCTGGGAGTTCCAGTTGATCAAGTGGCTAAAGCAGGTTAGAACAGAACATTAGATTACCTTTTGTTCATTTTGTAGCCATATTCTGAAATGTAGTCTTTTATTTAAAGTTAATATGTGCAAATACTGTAGCTGCTGCCTTTTTAATATAAGGACACTTACCTGTCCAAGGATCCAGCGATGTCCTCACCAGAGCCGATTCTTCAGTTGGCTTTGGGAACAGGTGGTGGCATCTTCAGTAAGGGAAGCTGGCAGTGAAGCCTTTTGGCTATACAGTTTCTTACTGCACATGTGCGAAGCGCACTGTCAGGGACCATCGCGACGCATGGGTCTGCACATGCGTAGGTGTCTGTCAAGACATGCAGGCAGCAGGGCACTAGGACCCAGGCGCACCCGTCGTCTATGACAGTGCTGGGCAGGCACTAGGACCTAGGCTGCGCCTGTGCAGGGCGGGCTACTTAAACCAGCCCTGCACAGCCACTTGTTGCCGAATGGTCTTTCTGCATATCCTGTTACCTGTGTTGTGAGTACTTTGATCCGGATTGTCTGACCTAGCTGCGTTCTCCTGTCCTGACCCCTTGGCTTGCCTGACTCTGCTCCTGGATGTTCCCCTTTAGATTTGATCTCCTGTTATTGACCCAGCGTGTGACTCGACCATTCTTTGCCTACTGTTTTGTACCACACCGACCCCCCGGCTACCGACACGGCTTGTTTTACTCTGCCCTTGCTCATTCCTCCATCCATCCATCCCTCAGGGATCCCCGGGTCCCCTCACATCAGACTCTCACCCTGCAGGAGCCTCCGGCAGACTCCTCTACCACTGATAGAGATATCCGGTAGCTGCGACCTGGTCCGGGGCGCTCCAAGTCCATCCCCACCATCAGGGGCCCTGGTGAACAAGTGCTCCGGAACTTAGACTCCGCACTCTGGAGAGGCTCTATCAGGGGACTGATAGAGGTGCTGTCGGGTGGTCCGTTACACGCACTAAGCTTTGCGAATGGTCTTATAGTCTTCTGGGATCTGTGAAGTGTCCCAGAAGGCTACAGGGGAAGGGGGGAATGATTTAAAATCACAAAACCTATAGGGTACAAGAATAGTAGCAAAATAATTGCTGAGAATTTAGAAATTACAATTGGGGGGGAAAAAAGGAAATATTGAATACCTCTACATACATTGACTCTTTGATTCTTGAGGCTGGTGTAACAATGAATGGGGTTGTGACAGGTTTTTTAATGCATGTTTTTTTACTGTATATTTATTTATTGTGTTCATTTTTTATTTATTATCAGGGCCAGGTATTATTTTTCTTTTATTATTATATTCAAGTAAATATTAAATATTAGCCAAAGCACATTTAAATTATCATGTATTTTAAAAAAAACATAGTACTTACAAAAATCCAACTTAGACCAAGAGTATCACAGATCCACAAGATATCAATTATAGTTGTCCTGGTAAATAATCAGTGCTTTACTTTCTGGTTGGTCTGAGTGGAGTACTGTTAGCTTGCAAATAATTCTGCAAAATTGGTGCTCTGTGAGAATTGATCACCTATTGGAATATAGTGGGGGAAGGGAGCTACTTCTACTGTATTTAGCCAGCAACTATAAAATCTGTTGTAAACAAGTTGTGTGCAGTTCTTGTCATATGTGCTATACAGACAGCATAATGTGATCACTTGCTGTTTAGCCCTATTCAAAACACACAGCTGAATGATTCATAGGAGAGGCAGACCCTTCTTCCCTCTTTGCACGTCGAACAGCTCTATAGAGTGTCAGTTAGAGAGAAACAGTGAGCAACTACTGCTGGGTTTGTTTTTAGGAAACCCAGAATGCTTGCAATCAATGTCACAGTAATGGTTTATAATAAACATTTACTTTAAAATTAACATTTTGTATAAGTTACAAAAAAGTGGCATAAAACATCACTTTATTAATATCAGTAGTTCAAATCAATATATTAACGATAATCTGTTCCTAATCATAAGTATCACCATATATGCAGACACCCTGTGTACAGATGGAAGCTCACCTCCTTAAATGACCTCTCTGTAAGAATGAGGAATAACAAGTGCTTTAAGATGTCTCCTGCTGGGGCTCAAACATTCAATAATCCACAGCAAATAGACGGCTTACAGCAGGTATAACAAAAGCTTTCTCCTAATAACGGTTGGTAGAATATGTAAAGCATAAAATGGGAAACAGATAGTGCTTTCTGTATGTGCTCAATTATTGGTGAACAGATAGCATAAAAATATTCAAATTACATTAAGCACAACAGGTGCTTAAACAATGCTTAAAGATGTGATCTTGTTCCCCAAATACCACAATGCATGCAAACACCACATGCAGAAATGGATGCTCACCTCCTTGAAAGACCTCCAAATCAAAAGAGGTCTACTAGCACTTTAAGGTGTTTCCTGCTGGGCTCTATACCTTCAGTGGCCAGTGATTCTGACTAAAAGCTGCCTCAAAGTACAACCTACATATTGCTTACCACAGGGGCATTCAAGCATATATACCACATCCTCTGTGGTGCATGTAATGAAATCATTCATAATGTACTGTTTTCCTGTGCTTGCTGCTGCAAATTCCTTTTTCTTTTTACTATTCACATTGTTCAGTGATCTTTTGCACGCTGGACATTTCATTTACTGCATGAGTAAAAGCCTGACAAACGAGGTAAAATACGATCATTCTTTTTCTGCACCGGAGGATCACTAACACTCCAGGAGCAAATAAATCCTGAAGAGTGGGTACTTTTTTGTACTGTGTACAAAACGTGGAAGCACTGGATCCTGCACTCTAATAAAATACCCCAATACTTTCTAATAATTCTTTCCATTTGCTTATACTGTATATTGTAATCTAAAACAATTTGTATATCATTATTATTTATAGATTTTTCAGGTTTACTCAGTCCATCCTTAATCAATACACTTCTCTCCGTATTCATTACCCTTCCAAATTTTTGACTCACTAACTCTTTTACTGTACCCTTTCTGCACAACTTTTTCAGATAAAATCTCTGTTTGTTGTAGAAAGTCACTTTCCATGATACAATTACATTGTAAACAGATAAATTGCCCCCTGGGGATATTGAACAACCATGAGTTATAGTGACAGCTGTCAAGAGAAATGTAACTGTTGTGGCCGGTAGGTTTAAAATGGTTCTTAGTTATAAACCTTACATCTTTCATTGATATTTCCAGATCCAAAATAGGCAATTTTACTTCTACTGGAATTCCATGACATTATATTTTTGTTATTGCCATCTAACTTTTTCTTGAATGCAAACAGACTTTCTTCATCTCCATCCTAGGTCATGAATAGGTCATCTATAAAACTCTGATATTTCAGCTGTTCAAGTCTATTCCTAAATGTTATGTCTGCTTCCTAATGGGCCATACAAATATTCACTACACTGGGAGCAAATCGTGCTCCCATTGTAACGCCCATAGTTTGTAGGTAATATTGTTAATTATGCCAAAAGTAATGGTGCTGTAAAGTGAACATAAAGCATTCCTTCAAACACTTCCTATGCTTCCTAGAAATACCCAGAACCCAGATCACTGCTGTTAATGCATCTTGATGCTTAATAATCACGTACAGAGAGCTGACATCAGCTGTAACCTAGATGCAATGATCATGACCATGTACTGTATGTTCTCCAAAATTTGCAAAAGATACTTTGTATCCGTCAACTAAGCTTCTGTAGCACTAGTATCTGGTTGAAGTGAATTATTATTATTATTATACAGTATTTATATAGCGCCAAAAAGTTTGCTCAGCGCTGTACATTACATTACGCTGTACATTATAGTGAATAATCTATGTACTGCCCCAACCTGGACATGATTGAATCTATCCCATTGACTATGGGTTGTCCTGGAGGGTACTTTTATTAATTTTAGGAAGACAGTATATTACTAAGTTTCTACATCCCTAAGGGACCAAATATTGGGCTTCTTTTTTATTTAAGATATTTTTTTTGTTCTTTAAATTCAACCACCGGATTGTTGTTCAATAGTAAATATGTGTTCCTATCCCCAAGAAGTCTGTCCATTTCATCCTTATAAAAAGCCTTAGTCATAGCGGCTATACCTATGCCTTTATCGGCAGGGCGGATTATCACCTCTGTTTTCTTTTCTAGTTCTTCTATTCCTTTCTTGATATAGCTGGGATTTTGTACCTTTTTAACATTTAATTTCTCAGAATCATCCAACATCATATTCCTAAAAACCTATATATGTTTATTATCAGAGTTTTGTGGGTTAAATACAGATTTGTTCCTAAGATTAGAATGAGGACCTTCATTACTAAAGGATGGCCTAACACCCATGTTAGAAAAAAGTATTTTTTTTTTCATATTCAGAGTTCTCACGAACTTATGAATACTGACATACATGTCAAATTTGCTCATGCTTTTGACTGGGACATATTTAACTAGTTGGTGACCACTTCCAGTAGCTTTACTGCTGGAGGGCGGCCTCCCTGTGGAAAATCACATATATATCCATGATCCACGCTCCTGCCGTGTTCCTAAGGCTATTCCACACATTGACAGACTTTCTTAAGGATGTCACTGAGGCAACCCATAAAAAGGGCATGATTTCTCGCTTATACTCCCAGCTGTTGTCCACAGTACAGGATCAAGCTAGTCTCTGGTGCAGGGCGCACTGGTCCTGGGTATTGTAGAGTTTGCTAGAGATGTCTGGGATGCTGTCCTGGAATCTGTTCCGGGAATTTCCCTTTCTCCCTCTCTTAAATTGTCTGAATTTTTTATTCTCAATCGAGCGTATAGGACCCCTGTGCAACTGTATCGGTGGGGCAGGCGCGATTTACCTGATTGTCCGAGGTGTCCAACAGGGTGATTTCATTCAAATTCTCTGGTGTTGCCCCAAGTTACATAGATATTGGAGTGAGGTTCTCCAATTTATTTCTCTAGTATCGCAATATACTGTTCCCCAGGATCCTTTGCAATGGCTGTTGGGGGCACTGGACCAAGAACTGTTCCAACCAGGAGTGTATATTATGG